TGTGTCTATCTATCTATCTATCCTTCTCTTCTGAACTCCATTTCCCATGAGCACTAGCGGCCATTCACAAAATCATGAGACCCATCATGGGATCGTGTCGCTTCACTTTCTAACAGCGGTGTTTTGGGTCACCTATACTGTCCTGATGGCGGTGGAAACGATGGCACATGACTGGGAGTTTGACCGTTTTGACGACGGTTCACAGAGTAAGTACATTATCTACTCCTGACGTGCTAAAGTTAACCTTACATTAGCCTTCAGTGCTAGCCACCGGGGGGGTGGGATCCGTCTATTTGCTGACGCGCAACAACTCCTACTGTTGGTTGCAAAACAAACGCTCGTTAAATCGACACTTTTAAAAAGTATTTCGCTTATTATTTACTTAAATTGAATGTGCAGGGAGTCCGTGCCAGCTGTATTACAAAGAATAACGTCGCTAAATGAAGTGACAGCAAAGTTAGCTGACATTAGTCACCGCCTGCAGTCACACAGCTGATCGGTTTGACAGCTTAATGACATTTTAGTTCATAGTAAAAAGAAAACAGTGTAAATAGCGTACTGTAACACCATGTTTATTTCCATTAAAGCAGACAAAAAGGAGACAATGCTGGTGTTAGTGTGTGTCAGGTCTGCAGTTAATATTCAGTGCTCCTCATAGGACAAAAAGGGATATTTATTTTCTGCATATTTCTGGCAATAAGAATACATACACTCTTTATTTTCCACATTTTAGCTCAAAATAATGTGGTTTGGTGATGTTAGGTGCTAAACTAGCTACAGCAGCATTGGTGTTTACATCAGGCCTGCGGAAGTGTCCCTGAGTAAACTCTCCCCTCTGCAGAAATACACACAGAGGTTCAGCTGAAGAACTACAGCAAGTTTCTGGAGGACTACACCTCCCAGCTGAGGGGTATCGAGGAGGCACTGGATGACTCCATCGGGGATGTGTGGGATTTCAATCTGGACCCCATCGCCCTGAAGGTGAAACACCAAAAAAACTACTGGCTGAGCATGAATCTGAAAAAAGACTGGCACTGTTTTTACACAGTTTAAACTTGTGTAATTTCCTTCCTGATGCTCTCTTACAGCTTCTCCCTTATGAGCAGTCATCCCTATTGGAGTTAATTAAAACAGAAAACAAGGTAAATAAAGACGGAGACTGTAATAATTAACAAATAGCAATTCATTATTAGACTGTAGAAGTTTTTCCTTCTTTGATAAAGACTTTTATTTTGTGTGCAGGTGCTGAACAAAGTCATCACAGTTTATGCTGCTCTGTGTAGTGAAGTGAAGAAGCTCAAGTACGAGGTAAGCACGGTGTAAACAGTGCACTCTGTTGTCCTTTTTTTATCATATAGTCTCTCCTAAAGGTGTAAACAAATACAAGTTGACATTGTGTGTATTGTTGGGGTCTAACAAATGTGATGATTTAATTTCATTCCTCATAAAACATTTGCAAAGATGGCTAGCTTGCAATCCTTCCTGCCTTCGCTCGTGCATTGCTCCATAATATTTTGGTTTATTTATTTATTTCTCTGGGACAGCGCATAT